GGACTCGATCCCGGGACTCCAGGATCATGACCCGAGCCGAAGGCAGTCGCTTAACCGACTGAGCCACCCAGGCGCCCAGCTTGTGGATTTTTAATTGTCCTCGATTGCCTCTGATGTATTTTTACACAACATTTGAATGTTTGTGCCTTGTATTTTTTTATATTTGTGCCTTTTAATAGTAACCCTCCACAGTTTAGATGTGCCACGGGCCCTTCAGCCATCCCTCTGTAGAGTCTAGATGGATGCCCAGGCTGCTTCCAGTAATGCGGGAGCCAGTGCTGCAGAAAGCACTCTTCTATCGTGTAACTGCTAAGCACCACCTGTATACCAGGGCACTGGGCCAGGCCCGGGGGGGGGCACAAGGGTGTAGCTGGACATCACCGCCTGCTGTCATTCAGCTACCGCAGCGGGAGGCTTTGTGCAAGCTGCCCCAGGCGGTGCTGGGTGCTCTGAGCACAGATGGGGGGTCTGAGGGCCCCCCTCCCTCAGCTATGGCTAGAAAAAGTGGGATAATAGCATGAAAGTACTTTGCCAACTGTAGAGTGCTAGGACTGCGTACCCAAATATCGTAATCAACGTACTTCATGCCGAACTCCAATAATTAGATGCTAGGGAGGGTGATGGAGCTCCGGCCCCCTCCCCAAATTCTACCACTGCAGGTCTGCTTTGCCTGGGCACATCCTGGAGTTCCATGTGAGATGTGATGGGTAAAGTTGCTATTGCCTTAAAAAAAAAAAAAAAAACAGCAAGTGTGTAAAGCCCACACTGACCCAACCAGAGCACCGTGTACTGGGGGCCCAGAGGGAAACCATGTGGAAGGTGTTGCGGATGGACCACCCCTCAGCGAAGGCCCCCTGTTCTGCCAGCGCTTGGAGCCCGGGGCCCAGTCCTGGGACAGAGGGTATAGAGGTTCTTGGGCATAGAGGTTCCGCTGTGAGGCTCGCAGCTCCAGAATCCTAGGCTGACCTTCCCACAGTCGCTCCCAACCAGCAGACAACACGGTAGAGGTGGGCCAGGCCCCTGGAGGGCCCAGTGAGGGGGAAAGACAGCCTGCAGGGGACAGGAACAGGGACAGCAAAGGGCAAAGGGGGAGAAGGCATAAGGAAAACACAGCCCAAAGGCCTCTGGGAGTGGGGAAGTTGCTCCAGACACCTGCAAATGCTCTGTAAATCCCAGGGCGGTTAGGCACCCTGCTTGTCCCAGGCCTGCAGCCCAGGTGGGCCCCAAAGGGCCGGTATCTGGAGTTTCTCCCAAGTGGACTGGGTTCTGACAGATTATCCAGACAAGTGATCAGCTGGTAGGTCTGGCTTTGACGGACAACCAGAGACCCAAGCTAACTCGCACCTCGGATCCTTTGCTGACGGGCTGTGGGCCTGAACGGCCACTGTTTATCTCACCGTGGGTCAAGGTGGCCTGCTCTTCCTAACAAGTGTCTTCTGCAGAGCACCCATCTCCAGGGCCCTCAAAATAATACTCCTGCGAGTCTGTGACATTTGGGGAAAAGTGTTAGAGCTCCGGGGGAAGTCACAATGCCCAGCAGCGTGCTCAAACTCTGAGAAGTCCTGCTGCAAAGGAAACTATATTTCATTTGGTTTAAGCAGCACTTTCCAAACTTGTATGCCCTTCCTTTCCCTTCAGCCTCAATGATAACTCAAGGGCCCGGCATTTGGAGGGAATGTGTTGGGCCACCCGTGTCCAGAGGGCTCTGGCTGTGAGGGTGCAGTCCTAGCTTTCCTCAAGGCTCCCCTGCCTCATTCGGATGCTTTGTTTCACAGATTGTCCTGTGAGGTCCTGAGTGACCAGAGCCTGGAGACCCTGCTGCACCACTTACCCCAGCTCCCCCAGCTAAGCCTGCTGCAGTAAGACCGGTTTCCCCATCTCCCTGTGCTGGGCTGAGGCTCTTGGCTTGCAAACCCATCCCTTCCTTCCCAGTTACTCCTCTCTCTTGGGCTCTTTTATCTGGCACAGCTGGGAGCTCTTCCCTAATACCTTACTAACCTTGAAGGGGGGTGGGGTGCTATGGGATCAGTTTCCTCATCTGACAAATGGGACTCCTATTCCCCAACCCCTCTGCCACGGTTGGGGCTCCAAAAGACAGGTGTTGTCCAGGCACCTTGAAGAATGGAGGGTCTCTGGCAAATGGGCTGTTGTACTTCTCCTCGCCCACGGAAAGGTCACCATCTAACTCCGCCAAAGGGGAACTGAAGCAGCATCCTCCGAAGTATTTAAAACTCTGCTTTCTAATTTCAGCGCAGACTGGTTAGAATTTAAAAAGGATTTACTTTAAATACTCTTCCAGCAGGGGGAAAGCAGCTGCAGCTGGGATGGAAAAATACAACGGGAAATTAAATCATACCGTTAATAACAGCAACATAAGTACTAATGCTGAGGCTCTCTGGGACGCCCGAGGCAGCTCACTTCACAGCCAGGATCTTGCTTATCCCCGCGTCCTACTGGGAAGGGAAGGAACAGCAGGGTGATGTTCCAGAGGTGGGCGGATGCAACAGACCTCGCGTCCACGCACGGCCCCCACGACGGGAAGGGCATCTTTGGACGCACAAAGTGGCAGGCTAAAATGAGCAGGTGGGAAACCCCAGACCAGGGAGAGACTTCTCCGTGCCCACGTCACACAGCATGAACCCCTAAATCTCCTCGGTCTTTGGAATGAGGTTTACAGCCTGCCCCACACCAGGGCTAACGCTTTGTACTACTTAGTCCGTATGCTGGAGGGCTGGAGACACAGCAGAGAGCGGGGAGAAAAGACCGGGTCCTTGTCTTCTTGGAGCTTACCTTGTAGTAGTAGGCAGCTGGACAATAAGCAAGCAAGACGAATTCAGACAGTGATGAGGTATTTTTCTAGGTAATGTAGTCAAGAGTGCCGCAAAGGTGAGGGCGGTCAGGGGATGCCTCTGAGGAGGGATACTAAGGTTCGACCCAAAGGACGAAAGGGACCCAGCCTTGTGAAGAGCAGGGAACAGCATTCCAAACAGAGGGAAGAGCATGTAGGAGGCCCTGAGGCAAGATTGAACTTGGTGGGCTCAAGGAACAGCCAGAAGGGCACTGTGGCAGGAGGGGAGGTGGAGAGAGGAGAGAGGTGAAGAGAGCCATGAGGAGGAGTTTGGGGTTTTTGTCCAAGGGGACTTGAAAGACAGAGGTGTGATGTGTGTGTGTGTGTGTGTGTGTGTGTTTTAAGATTTCATTTATTTATTTCACAGAGAGCACGAGCAGGGTGAGCAGCAGGCAGAGGGAGAGGGAGAAGCGGGCTCGATCCCAGAACCCTGGGATCATGACCTGAGCCAAAGGCAGACGCTTAACCGACTGAGCCCCTCAGGCACCCCTGTGCTGTATGTTTTCAAAAGCTCAGCCTGGCTGCTGGATAGAGAAGGGGTTGGGGGACAAGAGTGGAAATGAGAGTAGGGAAGAGGCTGTGTAGGGTCGAAGATGGTGGGGCCGGGGGTTGGTGGGGCTGGGGCGGAAGCAGGTCGATTCAGGGTGCATCTTGAGAGTGGAACGGACGAGACAAGCTGAGGGAGGATTTAGGGGGCGAGGGAAGTGTGGGGGTGCCCAGGTCGCCTCCGAGGGCAAGATGCGGCCGCCTCACCTTCTCGAAGACAGCGGTTCCCAGCCAAGGGGGGGATTTTGCTCCCCAGTGATACATGGCCATGGAGACATTTTTGGTTGTCATGGCAGGGGGAGGAGGATGGGGAGAGGGAGGGCAATGAATGGGATTTAGTGAGTAGAGGTCTACGGTGCCGTGGAACACCCTACAGGACAGCCCCAACAGCAACGAGTTATTTAGCCCCAAATCACAGAAACTACTCCAAGGACCTAAAGTTTCCCACTTCCTTTCAGCAGGACTACCTGTTAAGTCTGTGCTTGAGGGCAGAAACAATATAATAATAAAACTAGCATGGCGCCAGGCAGTGCACCAGCTTGATGTAATTAAGTCCTCGAGACACCCCAGTGGAAGGTATACCATGAGTAATCCTGTTTTCCTGGTAAGGAGGCTGAGGCTTAGAGAAGTTAAGTGACTGCCAAGGACACACAGTCGATAAGCAGAACTGGAGCTCAAACCCAAGTCCCTATTTGTCCCTCTTGAGTCCCTGCCTTCCTCCTTATTGCTTTGCTGACCCGCCTGCCTTCCCTCTCCTCTCTTGCCTTCCCTTCCAGCCCATCCAGGCTGCCTGTCCACTCTAGCCTGGCTCCAACTTGCCTACATAAGGCCCCGCTCCTTTCCTTCTCAGGCTAAGCGAGACAAGGCTGTCCCCGAAGAGCCCCCTCCTGCTGGCCGATCTCTTCAGCCTGTGCCCACGGATTCAGAAGGTGGATCTCAGGTGGGCATTGCCCTAGGACAACCGGGTCTAGTCTTGGAGGGTTTTGCCCTGTCTGGCGGGTGTAAGAGGGTAGGATGGAGGCAGTAGGACCTGAGTCAGGGGCGTCCTGAGACTGTGGCCAAGGGTGGCTGACTCAGGTGCTGTCTGTTCCAGGTCCCTGTATCACATGACCCTGCACTTCAGGTCTAGCAAGGAGCGGGAAGGCGAATGCTGTGGGTAAGTCCCTGAAACTGCGCCCTGGCACCTGGTTGATACTGGGGACAAGTAGACCCACCTCCTGGATGCCTAGAACAGAGTACAGATTGCCTGCCGTGGGGCATTTCCTTGAAAGGACCCAGCAAGCAGACTTGTTTCCTCTAACATAAAGAAGCAGAGGTCCAGAGAGGGCCGGGCTTTGGCAAAGGCAAATAAGGAGTGCCTGTCAGGCTTGACCAGAGTTCAGGGGCCTGGTTCAAGGAAAAGGACTTCATAAGTGGCCCACCAGGCCTTAAATCCCAGCTCCACGGGGCCTGACGCCTTGGACGAGCTCCTTAACGTTCTGTGATCCTCAGCTTCCACAGCTGAAGGGGGAGCCATCATATTGCAGGATGTTTGTAAGGATTAACTGAGACGATGTGTAAAGCATGAAGCACTCCCAGATACAGGTGTCCTTGCCCTGCTGGCTCCTGGACCCGTGCTCCGCGGTTATCCCCAGAGGCAGGATGACGGGGCAGAGGGCAACCTTTGCACACAGAGATGATGTTTCTAATAACTGATGCCACTGGCTTGCCGAGAGACCTTGTGCTGGACCCTTCTCCTGTCGGCCTCAGCCTCCTCAGCTGTGAAGTAACCATAAATAGGAGAATCAAGATATGTTGAATATCTGCAGGGCGCCATTCTAGAGCCTTCTGCACATTACGTCCTGTAAGCTTCACAGCTGCGATCACATGGCAGGAAGGGGGCAGCCGGGACTTGAACCCAGGCTGTTCTGCAGTGCTCCTCGCCCCAGGGCGGACAGACTGTGGGTGGCTATGTATTTATTGATTCATTTTTGTTAGAATAGAGCTGACCTACAACATAGTACTAGTTGCAGGTGTACAAGCTAGTGATTGGGCAGCTCTGTGCACTGGGCAGTGCTCCCCGCGGTGGGGACCGTCACCATCTGTCACCATACAATAGTGTTACAGTATTATTGACTATATTCCCTATGCTGTACTTTCCATCCCCTTGACTTCTTTTATAACTGGAAGTCTGTGCCTCTGAATCTCTTTCGTCTCAATTCCAGTATCAAAGGCAAGAGCAGGCGTCACCCTTCTTCTCTCCCTCCCACCCTGCTTGTCCAACTTGAGCTTAAATCAACCACCTAGAGATCCTGTGGTTTCTGATTCAGTGGGTCTGGGCAGGGTTCCTAGAGTTTGCATCTGAACGAGTGCCCAAGTGATGCAGGTGTGGCTGGTCGGGGATCACCGGCTGATGGAGCCTGGGGGTGCCGGGTGGGATCTGTGTGGGAGGTTGTCAGTGGTGGATGACGGATAGTTCCAGAAAATCCAACCTTGGGTGAGGCCCCCTGGGAGCTGGAGGCCACACCCAGGACAAGCCAGGGCAGAGCAGGTCTGAGTGGCTCAGCGCCCCCTCCTTGGGCTTGGGCCCCTCCTCCAGCAGGTTCACGGGCTGTGGCCTCAGTCAGGAGCACGTGGAGCCGCTGTGCTGGTTGCTGAGCAAATGCGAAGACCTCAACCAGCTGGAGTAAGTTGGCGGGGGAGGAGGGAGAGGAGCACGGGAGCACGTGCCTGGGTGGCACTGGAAGGGTGGATGTGTGTGCGTGTGCATGTGCGCGTGTGTGCGTGCCCTCAGCACCTGTCAGGGCCGGCTAACAGGGATGCCTGGGACACGTCCTGGGTCACATCCATAAAATTTCCCTGTACCCATTTCATCCCTTCCACTCCCGACTCTTGCCATGATGGGGCCAGTTCAGGGTGTGTCCCTTGATCTACTTTGAGGAGCTCACAAAAGGGCTATGGGAGCCCCTGGGCCTCATGATGATCAAGACGTTGGAGCTCTGCTGGCAGATGGGAACCAAAATGGAGAATCCCATGGTCTGCCCGGCAGGGGGTTAAAAGTACCCAGTGGCTCAGCCTGAGGAGGGTCTCGGAGCCAGCTGGGGTGGGGCCTCGTGGGCTCTCGTGTTGTTGAGAGGTGGTATCTGTGTGACCTGTCTTGGGTGCCCAAATAGCACAACCCCCTCATGGGTAGAAAAATAAAAACAGGCAACACTTCCTGAGCACCTTCTCCACTGTGCTAAGTGCTTTACGTAGTCTTTTTATCCTTCCAAAACTCGAGGTACTGTTGTCCCCATTTTATAGATGAGAGTGCTGAGGGACAGAGAGGATTTAAAAACTTGCCCAAGGTCACACAGCTAGGATGATGATGCAGTCTGTGCCCACAACCACTAGGTGTCCAGCTTAGGACCAGTGGGACATTAAGAGAGCTGTCTACAACAGACACACACACACAGACACACACACACACAGACACACACACACACACACTTTAAATTCCCGTTGTGATGTGGCCAAAAAGAGAAATGGGGCCGATGGAAATCACACATTAGAAAGATAAATAAGCAGGGTGCCTGGGTGGCTCAGTTGGTTAAGCGACTGCCTTCGGCTCAGGTCATGATCCTGGAGTCCCAGGATCGAGTCCCGCATTGAGTCCCGCATCGGGCTCCCTGCTCGGCAGGGAGTCTGCTTCTCCCTCAGACCCTCCCCCCTCTCATGTGCTCTGTTTCTCATTCTCTCTCTCAAATAAATAAATAAAATCTTTAAAAAAAAAAAAAAAGAAAGCTAAATAAGCAGTATGTCTTTGGGTTTTTCTGCTTTCAATTGTAAAGGGAAGTTTTTCTAATTGTAAACATTACTTGATCAAATGGCTTTATGAGACAAACCAATTTTTAATTTTTAAAGCCTCTCCCAAAAAGGCAAACAAAGCCTCAAAAGTGTCATCATCGGGGACAAAATGAGGTCAGAGATGCAGGACAAAAATCAGACATTCCAGGGCACGCTGATTATATTGTTCTGAAAGCGTAGCACAACCATAGAAAGCCGCAAGGAAGGGAAAGAAAGCATTCAAGTACAATTTCCGTCCGATATTGCATTCCTGAATTAAAAGAAGGAAATCTCCTGGGGAAACCCAGCCTCCAAACCTCTTTCTTTTTTCTGGGATTTATTCTTGTTCAAAGTTGCCGTTCTCACCTGTTGTGAGCCAAGGGCGTGGTAAAGGCAGATGGGTTTTTCTCTGAGGCCGGAAGCCTGCGGGAGGCATGGGGGCCCTGGGCATGGGCAGCAGGCACTGCAGGGAAAAGGGGGGGACCGCTCACCTGTGGTGCTGGGGGGGCAGCGCAGGAGCTGTTGTGTGCTGGGCGATCATTCTGGGGGTGCCGGAGATGCCGGTGAAGTGGGAGTGAGCATGGTGCGGTCCGGTCACGGCGACAGTGGCACAGAGCTAGTCCTGTGCGGGTCGAGTAGCAGTGATGGTACCTTTGGAGAGCGGGCTCCGGCTGAGCGGCACGTCGGACTGCCAACCCCTTCTTGCCTCTCGTAGCCTCTCCGCAAACATGCTGGGTGATGACGGGCTCAGGTGCCTCCTGGAATGTCTGCCTCAGTTGCCCATCTCCGGTTCGCTTGAGTAAGTGATGAGCAGCCCAGGGGACAGCCAGGAGGAGGATCCCCTGCCCCCGCGCTAGGCAGAGCCCCCACCAGACATCCAGGAGAGGCTGTGACTAAAGCGTGGTGACCCAAGCTGACTTTGGGACAGGAAAGTGACAGTTTCTCTCTAACCAGCTGACGCAGGACCTCAGCTGTTCTGACTCCTAGTCCATCCTGTCCCTGAAGCCCCTCTAAAGACTAAATCTATGGGACACAGATTTGGAGATGTTCCCACAGCAGGGAGGGTCCCTAGGAAGTCACCCACACTCTCAGCCAGTCTCCCCAGTGATCTGGGAGACTAGCGACCTGAGCCCAGATACAGCGGGTTGCTAGGCAACTGAGCTTTGGGCTCTGGGTGTCCCTGAGCCCCTGGGGCTGGAACTGTCAGCCTGGCCCCATCGACCCTGTCTCAGCCCCAGTGGGTGCAGCTCCTGAGGATGCAGGACTGGGTGCCTGTCCTGCCTGTGTGGGGAAAGTGCCCCTCTGGCCTCTCTCTGGACCTCGGTGTCTGCACCTGGAGAGTGGACACTTGGACATTGAGGACAGTCCTCCCAGAGGGGACAGAGAGCTGGAGGAGAGGGGACAAGGGGGGGCTGGGCAGGGCTGCCCTAAGGTGCTGCCCCTCCCCCCATCCTGAACCTCATTTCTCTTCCAGCCTGAGTCACAACAACATCTCCCTAGAAAGTGCCCTGGGCCTGGTGAAGACACTCCCCTCCTGCCCACGCATCCGGGAGGCCTCCTTGAAGTAAGACGTTGGTGCCACTTGCTGACGGTGGGGAGAAGCAAGATTCCCACGCTTAGCAACCCCCTCTGTATGACTTGGGGCAACTTGCCCCCCTTTCTCAGTCTCAGGGTTCCCTGAACGGGGGATCGTGGTTTCCATCCTCCAAGGCCTGCATGACATGGGGACCAGGGAGGTCACAGGGTGGGGAAGGCGAGGATTCAGTGTCCTCACAGAATGTGCTGGGGGTCCCCTGTGGTCTCTCCTTCTGTGGCTTTCACCCTCCCTTGTCCCTGCGGGCCTAGCCCCCTTCCCTCCTGCAGCTCCTGGTGTCTGGGGCTCAGGATGCTGGGCCTCCGGCTTCCCCACACCCTTCTCTCTGCAGCCTGGGCTCTGAGCAGAGCTTCTGGATCCACTTCTCCAGACGGGAGGAGGCCGGGAAGACACTGAGGTAAGGCCTGGTCTGGGGGAGAGGGGTCAAGGGGAGGGAATGGGGAAGAGGAAGCTGACCCTGGGGCAGCTTCCATGCCTCCTCCTTCTCTCGGCCCTTTCCTCCTTCAGACACCCTGCTTCACGCTCACTGCCTGGGTTTGCCGCCCCCAGATCTGCCCCCAACACCCCCGCACCTCCAGTCCTGAGGCCAGGCCTTTGCATTGATGGGTGCCTCTTAGCCATGCCTTAACTATAAGCCTGGAGGCTTCTGAGTATCATGGTTAAGAGCTCAGACTCTGGAGCCACCTGGGGGTAAATCCCAGCCCTACCATTTGCCAGCTGTGTGACCTCGAACAAGTGACTTAACCTCTCTGTGTTTCAGTTCCTCATCTGTAAAATGGGAATAATAGTAAGACCTACCCCTTAGGGTTCTTATGAGGCTTAAAGGAGTTGATATGTATAAAGTGCCTGGCAAGGGCCTGGCTCACTTGAGTTCTGTATCAGTTGCTGTTATTATTACCCACCGGTAGCCTGGGGCGCTCTCTCTCAGCTTCACCACCACTGCCTCGGGTCACTTCCTCTGTATGTCTTTCTTCAGCTGTGATCATGGCCTCTGAACTGGGCCACTGCCTCTGGCCAGGCCTCCCCCAATCCATTCACTTCACAGCCCCCAGAGGGATCTTCCCAGAACACATTGGACTGTGGCACTCCACTGTGCTAAGCCCTTCCGTGGCTCCCCATTGCCCCCAGGATCAGGTTCAAATTCCTTAGTTTGGTCTTCTCCCTCAGTCTGATCTGGCTGCCACTTCCCATCGTGTTCCTCCTCACCTCCTCAAAGCCGTACACAGATAAGCCACACCCACACCACGCACATAAATGCACGCACTCCACATACATACACATACAACACACACATATGCACACACATCATACAAGCACACGCCACGCATACACATCCACAGAACACACACAACACACACACGTGCATCCATACCTAGCCCCCGCACATACAACACACCCACAACATACATGCACACACACACTCAGCCCAAGGGCCCTTCACTCCTTACTAAACACACACTGCCCGATGAAGCTTCCTTCCCGCCAGGCACTCAACCCAACACTCTCTTCCCTGTAGTTTCCAAGATAAAATTCTCCCAATCCTTTCATACCCAGCTGAAATGTCGGCCTCTCGTGGAATCCTCCAGGGGTCCCTGTCCCGTGACCGTGAACGGCCCTGTGGGGCCCGTCTGCTGGCCACCCAGGGCCACAAGAGCCAGGAGGATGGGGCCCCAACAGGAATCCCAGGCCTCCTCCCTCCAAGGGAGCCTGGAGTAAAGGAGTACTGGGGAGGAGAGCCACAGTGTAGGTTTGGGGTCTGGAGTCTGGCTGACTTGGACTGAAACCCGATTCGGCCCTTACTTCTCACCAGCTGTGTGTCCTTGGGTTAGTCAGTTTCTCTGCCTGTAAATGATGTGGTTGGAATTGCATGAGATGCTGCATATAAGGTAGGCTCATCCGGAGCACCCAGATGCTGGCCCAGGGCCTGGCATAGAGTCAGGGCTCAATAAGGGACACTCCCGGCCCTTTCTTGGCAGGGGGTGGGGTGATCTCTCTCAAGAGATAGGAAGCTCCCAGAGCAGGAGCTGCATCTTTGGCCTGTTCTCAGGCCCTGATTCCAGGCCTTTGCCCTCAGGGTGGGGCACCCCACAGGCCCTGGGGGAGATGGGAGGAAGCAGGACAGCAGCCCCAGCAGGCCTCACTCCAGCTCTGCCCCTTCCCCTCTGCCCTCAGGCTGAGCCAGTGCAGCTTCGGGCTGGAGCATGTGCCCAGACTGGCCACCAACCTGAACCAGGCCCTGCAGCTGACCGCGCTCACGTGAGTCACCAGGCCCAGCCACAGGGGCAGGGGAGGGGCGGGGGCTCCCGGTGAGGGCCACCCCTGTAACAGACCTCTGTCCCCAGGCTGACCCAGTGCTGCCTGGGCCTGGAACAGCTGACGCTTCTCCTGAGTCTGCTGAGGTGGCCGGTGGGGCTGTTCAGTCTCAGGTACTGTCTTGCTCGGTGCCCCTGGGAGGGGCCAGGGTGGGCCCTGGAGAATGGGTCTCCCCCAGGACCGTGGCCCCAGCCACGTCCTGCACCCAAACCCTGCCACTTGGACCCTGCCTTTAGCCCCAGAAACCCCCTCAGGCATACGGAGAAGCCACCCTCCTTGAGGTGGGGCCTCTGCTTGGGCACTTAAGAAAAAAAAGGAAACCCCAAAGGACACCCAGATGAGGTCAACAGTAACATACAACAGATATCATGCGTGTATGCTCACGATGATCATTTTGAAACTTTCAGAAAAGGGTTACTGGAGGGGAGGGCGGTGGGGAATGGGGTAACGGGGTGATGGGCATTAAGGAGGGCACGTGATGGAATGAGCACTGGGTGTTTTATGCAACTGATGAATCACTGACCTCTATCTCTGAAACTAATAATACACTATATGTTAACTACCTTGAATTTAAATTATAAAACAGAAAAAAAAAACTTTCAGAAAAGCAGAGAAGATACCAACAAGTAGAGAGACTGATGTTGAAGACTCATATCCTTAGCCCCTGGGCTTGACAGTTATTCACGGTTCTCCATATTTGCTTCGTCTTTTAATTTTTTTTTGGTTAAATTGTTCTCAAGCTATAGATCTCATAAAACATGGCTCCTAGACATTTCACCATAAATTAAAAAAAATGAGGACATTTTCTCCACAATTGCGGTTGAATGAGGACACCCAGGAGGATCGGTGGCAATTCTGAGTGTTGTGATGGCCCAGTCCAATCTAAAAGTTCCCACTGTCCCCAGATGGGGCAGCTGGCTCTTCGGACCCAGGATCCAGTCAAGGCCCACACTGGTATGGGGTGGCGATGGCTCTTAGGACTCTTAATCTGTGTCGCCCACCCTCCCTGGTTTCTTGTGGACAAAACTGCCCGCTGGGCTGTGTCTACACTCACTGGCTCTGTCTGGTGCCTTCCTCCTGAAGTCACTGCGTTTGTTCCTCTAAACCCCTGACATTCCCAGAATGGAAGTTAGATCCGAAGGCTGCAGGAGACTCAGTTACATAAATTTGTCCAAAACCCTGACTCCGTGGGCAGTGCTGGGCACGTGTCAGCACAGCCAGTGACGAGGCACGTGAAGCCTGGTTGTTCTCCAAAATACCATTCTTGTTCAATTGTGGTACAATAGACATAAAATCTACCATCTTAACCATCCTTAAGGGTACAGTTCAGGAGTGTTAAATACATTCTTATTGTTCTGCAGCCGCAACTCTTTTCTTGGAAAACTGAAACTTTGTCCCCATGACATGCATCCCCGTTTCCCCCTACCCCAGCCCCTGGCAGCCACCACTCTCCTTCTCAGTCCACGGATCTGACTGCTCTAGGGACCTCCTGTAAGTGGGATTGCGCAGGATTTATCTTCTCTGTGACTGGCTTGTGTCCCTCAGCATCACGGCCTCAGGGTTCATCCACACTGCAGCAAGTGTCAGAGTTTCCTTCCTTTTCAAGGCTGACTGATACCGCGTTGTAGGTAGCCACCGCGTTTTGTTGATCCGTTCATCCGTCCGTGGACCCTTGGGTGGTTCCACCTTTTGGCTGAGGTGCTTAATGCTGTTGCGACCATGGGTGTGCAAATACCTCTTTGTGTCTCTGCTGTCAGTTCTTTTGGGTGTATACCCAGAATTGCTGGATCGCCCAAAATAACACTTTAAAATAAAACTTTTCATACTCTAAAAATAATCCGTACTCGTTGTAGAGATTTGTGGAAAATCCAGATGAACATAAGAAAATAGTACTTCAAAAAAAAAAAAATCTCAACATAACTTCAAAAGCAGAAATATTTTAAACAGCTCTCTTTTTTCCTGCTTCTAAATTAATGCACGCACATTGTAGAAAGTCCGGAAAAATATTGGAAACTGTGGAAGAAAGGAAAAAACCACTTGTGAGAATTCTACCATCTAAACAACCATCATTAGCTTTTAATATATTTTCCTCGTATCTCCGTCTCCCTGTTTCTATCCATGTTTTCTCTCTCCATACATATTTTTCCTTTTTTAAATACAAAATGGGAATGTTTTATATATGGTTTTATTTCCTTATCTTTGCCATGCAACACTATATGGCCCTTTCCTTAAGTCTAAAACTATTGTTTAAAAAAGGACTATTTTCTGTTGGGATTGTTGCAGTAACTGCAGAACAAAGATGATGTTAATTTCCCGTTTTACGCTTGTGCTTAGTTGTGTAATTTTATAGTTTTTAAACCAGCAAAACCAAAAAGCCTCTGAGCCTCACACTTGCCCCCCACCCCCGGCTCACCCTGGGGGACCTTCATCTCCTTCTGCTTCTGCAACAGGGTGGAGGAGCCGTGGGTAGGCAAAGCCGGGGTGCTCACCCTGCTAGAAGTCTGCACGCAGGCCTCAGGCAACGTCACTGAAATAAGGTGAGTGGAGGGAGGAGGCCCCTCAGAAGTCTTCATCTTTTCATGACTATTGGGACCATCCCTCACCTAGACATCAGTCTCTTGCCCTGGGGTAATAGCTGTGTCACTAGCAAATTCTCTAGATCCCCAAGATGGCAGGGGATACACATTTGTTGGGACCTGTGCAGTAATCAAGCTACAGAGCCAGAGAGAGGAAGGCAGCCACAGAATTAAGACAAAGAGCTGGTGGATCCCAGGTAGACACAGGTGGGAGTCCACACTGATTGTCTGGAAGTGGCCCCTGGATTACAGTAAACACACATTGTGGCTCTAGGACTAGAGGTGACAGAATGACGTGGAGTAGCTAAGAGCAAAGGCTTTGGAGTCCCACTGACCTATGTCCAGATCCCTACTGGGTCTGGGAGCTCAGAGTCAGTAGACTGGCAGCCGAAGGCGGAGCTGCTTCGGACCTCATGCTGGCTACCCCTTCTCTCCTCAGCATTTCCGAGATCCAGCAGCAGCTCTGTCTCCAGTTGGAGTTTCCCCGTCAGGAGAACCCAGAGGCCATGGCCCTCAGGTGGGACCTAGTACCTGGGCCCCCATGGGCGTAGCTGGTGATGGGCTGGGGGTGGGGGTAACTACTGCTTCTGATCAATAGTTCTCGTGCCTTGCTCAGTGTCCTTTGATGTCCAAAGTGTCTACCTGGCCAAAGAGTTCTGGCCCAACCTGCCCAGCCCCACCCCAAACCTCAGTCTCAGCTCGTCATCCCCACCACCTTTTAGTTCCCCCAACACCACCTTGCTCCGTTTGACCTCAGGGCCTTTGCACGGGCTGTTTGTGGACCAGAATGTTCTCTCCTCCCCTACCCTCTTTCTCCTTTTCTCCTTTCTCCCCTACCCTCCTGACTAATTCCCCCCTTATCCTTCAAGTCTCAGCTTAAATGCCGCCACCTCAGGAAAGCCCCTCTGAACCCCCAGATGTAGTCAAGTTCTCCCATGATCCACCCTTATAGATGCCTGGATTCACAGCACCCCTGATCCATACAGCACATTTTAGAAATTAAATTGTCACCCCTTTTGAGTGAATGCAGCCCTGCATGTGTACGTACATTCTGGGGAACAGACCACAGCCGGTTCTCAGCCCCAACTCACCTCCTTAGCTGAATCCCCTTGTGCAGTGAACAACCTGCACAGCCATACCAGCTGCCCCATCTGGACTTCTTCAAAGCACTTCCCATAGTTGAATAGAAAACTGTGGGACTTTACTTCATTAGTGTTTATTTATCCCTAAAAGGTAATCTCCTTGTAGGCAAGGACTGCGTCCCCAATAGTGACCCAGGTGTTCAGAAACTCCTGCCTCCCTGTCTACCTCCAGGTTGGCTCACTGTGACCTTGGGACCCACCACAACCTTCTTGTCTGGCAGCTGATGGAGACATGTGCCAGGCTGCGGCAGCTCAGGTCAGAACCCCGAAACACGGGGCGCCTGGGTGGCTCAGTCGTTAAGCGTCTGCCTTCGGCTCAGGTCATGATCCCAGGGTCCTGGGAT